TGATAATTAATCCAACATTCATTTCCTTCGGAAAAGCGATGATAATACGATAATTATAATATTATATATAGAAACTATAAGTCTATTGTTTAAATATAGGTTTAAGTATCATTTTGGTCCCTCAACTTTTCACTTTGACACCAAAATTGTCCCTTAACTTTAAAAAGTACCAAAATTATCCTCAAACTTTCATTTTCAGTACCAAAATGGTCCTTCTGTCAGTTAAATGACAGGTGGCACGTTAAAATGCCACAAAATCATATTCTTAAAAAAGTAATAATTACGTGGAAAACATATCATGCTAAAAGTGATGAGATGGCAGTTTTTTTTAAAATAATTTTTTCCACGTCAAATAAAAATGAATTTATAAATTAAATGAATTTTAAAATAATTAAGTTAATTAACTTTCATTTCATCATCTTCTTCTTTCTCCTCATTCTCAGCCTAATCCTCGGCATCATCATCTCACCGTTTATCTTCTTCACCATTCTCTCACCATCCTTCTCATCATCTTCACCATCCTCTTCCTCTTCATCATCTTGATTCCTCATGGAACCCGATGCTGGGTTTTCCTCTTGATCATCTTGGTTCTTCGCGGAACCCAACCCGATGTTGGGTGGCGAAACCTAACCCGATGCTAGGTTTCTTGAGGAACCCAGTTCCTTGAGGAACTCAGTTTTGGGTTCCTGGGTTCCTTGAGGAACCCAATTCTAGGTTTTGTGAGGAACCTTTTGTGAAGAACCCAATTCTGGGTTTCTGGGTTCCTCGAAGAACCTAGGTTCTGAGTTTCATGAGGAACCCTTGACGAACCCAGAACCTAGGTTGCGCGAGGTTCCTTGAAGAACTCAGTTTCTGGGTTCCTCGCGAAACAAACCGTAGCATTTCTTCCAGTAATTTCACAATTTCACTTCATTTCCATAGCTCTGAGCACGGAATTCATATTCTTGGTGATTGGTTTGATCAATTTTGAAGTTTGGGATGGTAAAGCTAGTTTTTCTTTGCTCTGTTTCTTTAGCTTCTTGCTTTGTTCGGTTGCTCTGTTTCAATTTTGAAGTTTTTCTTTGTTTGATTGCTTTGTTTTCGTTTGGCCTTCGGGAACTCAACTGAAACTGGAAAAGGAAAACAATTTTTCATGTGAGCCCCACAAAAATTGAATCTGAAAAGGGAGAGCAATTTGACGTGGAAAAAACATGCCATGGTAGCAAAATTTTGTTTGCTGGATTTACACGTCATTAAAAGTCAAAAAAAGCAGTGATTTTGTGGCATTTTAACGTGCCACCTGTCCACTTAACTGACAGAAGGACCATTTTGGTATCGAAAATGAAAGTTTAAGGATAATTTTGGTACTTTTTAAAGCTGAGGGACAATTTTGATACCAAAGTAAAAAGTTGAGGGACCAAAATGGTACTTAAACCTTAAATATAATATTAAATAAATAAATAAATATAATATTATGTATAAATTTTTAAATAAAAATTAATTATATTCAAATTTTCTAGAAGCTTTATGCTGCTTAAAAGTCAAGAATTAGGCGCTGGGATTTAAAGATAAATCCAAATAGAGTATCTTCTCTGAGATGACTCGATTCTACATGTTTTTTTTTTTGGTTTTTCATCCAGTATTTGGGGTTTCGACCTGACTAATCCGAACCTGACTCACGTCATGCACCTGGAAATGGTGAATGAGTCTCCCAGCGGGGGCTGCTGCATACACAAGGGCTCGAACTCGAGACGTTACTTGAGCTGGAACAAACCGCTTATCACTTGATCCAACTCCTCGTTGGTCTCGATTCTACATGTTGCATTAATAAAACTATCATTTTTTTTTTAATGAGTAAGTACAAATTTCAGGAGGGGACGAGAATTCAAGAATTGAACGGGAATTGTATTAGTGGAAATGCATTTTTAAAGTTAGCCA